GGAATATTAGTGCATCTGGCTTTGAACCAGTGAGGGAGGGGAAGGAGCATCAGCTGTGTGTGGCGACCTGTGTTGGTCTGAACTCACCATACCTGCTTAGTTGTACAGTTATGGTGAATAAAACATGTAGATACTTATATATAATGTCTGAATATAGTGAATAAAAGCAAAAACAGTATGGTGGGAGGAGGATGTTGGCTAGCAAGGTGTTGTTGAGAGAGGGAGTGGTGGCGAGTGGCTGACTGGTGTGTGGCGGTCACTCCTCATTTTCTTTTGACTCACCATCCCAACTTAGTGGTTTGTTATGGTGAACAAAACATGCAGACTCTTATATATACTGTGTGTATATAGTGTAATAACAGCAAAACTATTTGTTTATTGTTTTATGAACATAATTATAGAATCACTAATATGCTCACAATACTTTTGAGTAGTGATGGTTCACACATTTTATTATATAACTATATCACACTACACACTGTTGAATAATATGCACAGTGGAACCTCGAACAATAAATTTAATCCATTCCGGCGCAGTGATCATCATGTGAAACGGACGTCGTACAAAACGAATTTACCCATTGACAATAATGGAAATCAAATTAATCCGTTCTACAACCGAAAAACAACAATATGATATTGGATGTTTTAAATAATGGAGCAGCCTACCTTACATACACTGAACAAACCTTTATGACAGTTTTCTTTCTTCAAATTTGTTCAATATTTTTTTTTAATTTTTTTTTATAGCAAAAGGTTCGTTTGGTGTTTGGCAGGTAAGCAGCTCCATGTTTCTTAAATAAAAAAAAAAAATTAAAAAATTGAAGAATTTTGAAAAACAGAACAAATGTCGAAAAGGTTTGTTCAGTGTTCGGCAGGTAGGCTGCTCCATGTTTCTTAAATAAAAAAAAAATAAAAATAAAAAAAACAGTTGAAACAATTTGAAAAACAGACAAATGCCATAAAGGTTGTTAAGTGTTTGTCGGGTAGGCTGCTCCATTATGACAATCTTTCTTTGTTTCAAATGTGTTCCATTTGTTTTGTATTTTTCATTTATGTCTCAATAATGGAGCAGCCTACCTGACAAACACTGAACGAACCTTTATGGCATTTGTCCGTTTTTCAAATTGTTTCAACTGTTTTTTTTATTTTTATTTATTTTTTTTTATTTAAGAAACATGGAGCAGCCTACCTGTCGAACACTGAACAAACCTTTTTGACATTTGTTCTGTTTTTCAAAATTCTTCATTTTTTTTTTTTTTAACCCTTAAACTGCGCATGGCGTATATATACGCCATAGGGTGCCAGGCACGATTCAAATAGCCCGCTACCTTGAGGTGCTTCCGGGGCTTAGTGTCCCCGCGGCCCGGTCGTCGACCAGGCCTCCTGGTTGCTGGACTGATCAACCAGGCTGTTAGACGCGGCTGCTCGCAGCCTGACGTATGAGTCACAGCCTGGTTGATCAGGTATCCTTTGGAGGTGCTTATCCAGTTCTCTCTTGAACACTGTGAGGGGTTTGCCAGTTATGCCCCTTATGTGTAGTGGAGGCGTGTTGAACAGTCTCGGGCCTCTGATGTTGATAGAATTCTCTCTCAGAGTACCTGTTGCACCTCTACTTTTCAACGGGGGTATTCTGCACATCCTGCCATGTCTTCTGATCTCATGTGGTGTTATTTCTGTGTGCAGGTTTGGGACCAGCCCCTCAATTATTTTCCACGTGTAAATTATTATGTATCTCTCCCGCCTGCGCTCAAGGGAGTACAGATTTAGGCTCTTTAGTCGGTCCCAGTAATTTAGATGTTTTACTGAGTGGATTCTAGCAGTAAAGGATCTCTGCACGCTCTCTAGGTCAGCAATTTCTCCAGCTTTGAAAGGGGCTGTCATTGTGCAGCAGTACTCCACTCTAGAGAGCACAAGCGTTTTGAAAAGTATCATCATCGGTATAGCATCTCTAGTGTGAAAAGTTCTTGTTATCCAACCTGTCATTTTTCTTGCAGTTGTGACGGCTACTTTATTGTCTTCTTTAAAGGTAAGGTCTTCCGACATGAGTACACCCAGATCCTTTACATTGCCTTTTCGTTCTATGTTATGATTTGCCCGAGTTTTGTACGTGGTTTCTGTTTTTATATTTTCAATTTTTCCGTAGCGCATGAGCTGGAACTTATCCTCGTTAAACACCATATTATTTTCTGTAGCCCATAGAAAGACCTGATCTACATCTGATTGGAGGTTTGCCGTGTCCTCTATGTTGCCAACTCTCATGAAAATCCTAGTGTCATCTGCAAAGGATGATACAGTGCTATAGGTTGTGTTCTGGTCTATGTCCGATATGAGGATGAGAAAAAGTACTGGAGCAAGCACAGTACCCTGGGGGACTGAGCTCTTCACGGTTGATGGGCTGGATTTTATTTTGTTGACTATTACACATTGGGTTCTGTTAGTCAGGAAATTGTAGATCCATCTGCCTATTTTCCCGGTAATTCCTTTTGAACACATTTTATGTGCAATAACACCATGGTCACATTTATCAAAAGCAAACCCCGCGGCTACACGGGGGTCACATCAGCTTCCTCAGGGCTATTTTAAAAAAAAATCGTGGGCAATATTCTCCGGTTTGAGAGCCACAGTACTGTGGGAGCAACCAAGGTTGGTGCACGCAGCATGAGAGAACAGCATTGCTGTTCAGCTTGTGACCACAGCATCGCCGAAAAATGTCAAAATAAATATATAACTGCTATTATTTAGCGATGACAGTATTACAGATGACCCCTGACTGTGATAAAAATGACCAGGATTGTGATAATAGCAGGATTGTTGTGATAATTAGCACTGTGGAAACTTTACTGTAACAAAACTAAATTCCTCCATCAATGAATCCTCCAAGCCTGGAGGATGGGCAGGAGCATTGTTGAGGAGAAGCAGGGCCTCGAGTGGCAAACTTTTTTCCTGCAGATATTTTTTGATGGAAGGGCAAAACCACTTTATTTACCCACTCGGTAAATAATTGCCTTGTCACCCATGCCTTACTATTAGCCCTCCATGCCTTACTATTAGCCCTCCACATCACACACATTTTGTTTTTCTGCATATTCTGCATATTTCTGCATATTTCTGCATATTTTCTGCATATATATGCATATTTTCTGCATATGTTACTCCTTGGATTTTTTTGAAAACCCTTGGATTTTCGAAATGGTACTCAAGCAAGGGTTTAATTTTCAAATCGCCACTCGCATTACCACACAGCACAAAAGTAAACCTATCTCTCATAGGCTTGTGTCCGGGCAATGACTCCTCCTTCTTGGTAATGTATGTCTTCTTCAGTAATCTTTTCCAGAATTGCCCTGTCTGTCACAATTATACACTTGTTGTCACAATTATGCACAATGCAATTATGCACAATTATGCACAATGCAATTATGCACAATTATACACAATGTCACAATTATACACTTGTTGTGGTAGGTATGCCTCACTCTGCACAAAATCTTTAAATTCGCCAATAAATCTTTCAGCCGCTGGTTTGTTAGAGCTGGTAGCCTCCCCATGTCTCACAACACTATGAATGCCACTTCTTTTTCAAAATTTCTCAAACCATCCTCTGCTCGCCTTAAACTCTTTCGCATTTGCATCACTCATTCCAGGGGTTTTCTTTATAAGATCTTCATGCAATTTCCTTGCTTTTTCACAAATGATGGCCTCTGAAATGCTTTCACCTGCTAACTCCTTGTTGTGTATCCAAATTAATAACTGCCGTTCAACATCCTCAAGTGTTTGTGTTCTATGTTTTGTGATTATTGATATGCCCTTTGCCACTTTAGCACTCATGATGTTGTTTTTCTTAAGTATGGTGGATATCATTGACTGAGATTTGTTGTACTGCCTAACTAGTTCAACAACCCGCACACCATCTTCATGTTTACGAATGATCTCTTGTTTTTCCGCTATGGTCATCCTTACATGTGTTTTCATATGTTGAACCTTACCACTGACTTTCTTGGGACCCATGGCGTGATATTTAATAATCAGTGTTATGTTCAAAAAACAAAAAACAAAAACATTATTTATCACCAAAATAATGGAATTTCTTATAAGCGTGATTGTCACTAAGCGGGCGACTCTGGTAAAGTGAGGCAGGTTGGCCATGCGCTCGGTTGACCCAAACGTGTATCAACGAATATCGTTAGTCGACGATACTATCGTAAGTCGAGTTGCATTTTCTGATCAAATTTATATAGTAACTCGAAATTATCGAGCAAGTGTAAGTCGAGGTGTCACTGTACATAGTCCTTAAATTAACTAACAACCAACTCTCATATAAATTAAATAACAATATAATTATTTACATACTTTATACAAACTTAATTACAATAGTTAGATGATGATAGGGCTAAACACAGCCTACATAGTGTTTTCAGTCAGTCAAACTCGAGAGTCATCAGTAGGCATTTATTTGTCCCATCTTGAGGAATCCCTGGCTTTTGTGTGATTTATTTGCACAACGTGAGGGGGGTTCCTGTTACAATGTACAATAGCAGTAGCATGGTAGATGCCACTGCTGCCACCAGTATTACATCCTCTCTATATGTTGTTGGTTGTGGTACTCACTGGTAACGACTAAAGATAAACACCTGTACTTCCTTGTTTGGGTTTTATTGTAGGGATCACACACACACAGTTCAGTCCTGGCCGAGGTCCGCTCCTCAGCTCTGTACTCGTGTACTTTGGACTGTACTCTGCACATTGTTAATCCAAACTTTATTGCTAACTATTATTCCACATAATGCATTTATATTTTTAGAAACGTTTACTTAGCTTGTACTGTACTCGCCCACTTGCTATCACAATACTCATCACTCACCCTCTTACTCTGTGTCTATACTACAACACCTACACACAACAAATTAGGGGACTTTTCACACCAACAATTCTAAATGTAATTTTTGAAAATGCCATTTAAAATAGATATGACAAATTTAACTGTGGTGGACATTTTGCAGGTGCACCTAGACGACGACGACATCTTGGGGTGGTGGTCGGGCACCTCAGCTTCGGGACTCTCCACTCTGCGACTCTTGGCCAGAAAGATCCTGGCCGTTCCTGCCACTTGCGCTTATGCCCACGACTTGTGTGTTCATGCTCGCCAAGCCCGTCAGCACATGGGTTTGGTGGATGAGTTTCACCTCAATAATGTTCTCCATATGAAGTACAACATGAATTAGATTCTTTTGTAGTTGATGATTATGATATGGTTGCCAAAATGTGTTATTACTTATATTCTTTATTTATTCTAAACCGTAATAGAATGTACTGTACTTAGAAATGAATTTTTTCTCCAAGATTCCAGTTTAGCAATTCTACATAATTGCCTCAACAAAACTTTACACAAAAAATTATATTTGACAAATGAAGTCCCAATATATAGACAGGTACTGTACCAGTATTACCATACACAAGTTTAAAGTGATGCACTCAAATATTTTATACTAGTTAATAATGATAGTACTGTAGTATAAGAGTGCTATATGGGAAGATTGAAGACAATTAAGCCATCTTATAGTACAGACTTAATATATCATCTGGGGTGCACCAGTATTTGACAGTGACATGGGGTCAACCACATTATGCCCTTGTTATATATATGTTTATTTATTCCTTTTAGAAGTTTGTTACACTTGGCTTGGAAGCAAATCCGACATCACCATTTGCATTCGGTCAGTCAGGGTACTGCACTGACAACGCTCAACTACATTATGATTTTATTATCAAGGTAGCTGTTTAATTAGGTTGTGACTTGGTTGCTGTAATTGAATTATATGGATGTGGTTATGGCTGACATCCCTCATGTGAAGTGTAAAATAAGTATTTATTATTTAATAATTTTTGCATAGTTTAATCCTTATTAAAGATTTTTCTTTTAATTGTGGATCTAGGTTACACAGTCATCCTTCCAACAGTTAGCAAAGTATGCTTAATATCGTGGTGCTCATTTTTGCAAAGACAACTATAGAGCCGCTCAAAGATGGGAAAGCTTTTGTTTTAATCAACACTCTCCTGGCAGACAAGGCCTCTTGAAGCTCAAATATGACAATAGCAATTTTATAACAGCCAATCATCTATACAATGTTGTATAGCCCTTTCCACATTTTAAAGTCATTACTTAATGATACATTTTTCTTATGCCGACAATGAGTCACAGTAACGTGGCTGAAGATACGATGACCAAACCACACACCAGAAGGTGAAGAAATGATGTTGTCTCGCTCCGTTCTGGATCATTATCAAGTTGTATGCGTGATAAAGGTCCAGGACGGACCGAAACATCATCGTTTCTTCATCCTCTGGTGTGTGGTTTGGTCATCAATACATTTTTCTTGCAATAGTTTTGTTTACTCCTGGCTGTCCACATGTATTTGGGAGTTTTGCGTGTCATTTCTGAGCTGAGGAATTCATGTGGATGTGATTACTACTCTTATTTGGTGCCATTTTTTGATATAAGGTAATCATGGTGCCAATTTCAGCTGTTTGGTAAAAGACTCATTTATTGTAGGATTAGGACTGGAAGTTTTCAGTTTATCTTCCTTGAGATAGCAAATCATCAATTATTGAATATCATATCTAGGTGCATCTTCAGATGTATCACTAACAAAGTATGTTATACTGTAGCTATAAAAATTATTGTCTGTTACCCTATTTTGGAAGGTTCTGACCTACAGTAATGAGGTCTTTTGAGTATGTATTATAATGTAATGCAAACAATATTTAAGGCCTTATTAAAGTGCAAATTATGCCATTAAATATATCGCTTTCAATATTGTGTTCAGAACTATTTTGACAAGACAGGATTACTCTATGTATTTGACAACTGTCATATGACTTTATTTACTGGGTAGTATGAAGGACATTCATTGTTCAAATTATTTTTAGAGTGTCCTTTGCTTAATTATAAATTTATTTTAATGATAATCAGAGTATTCTACTGTTCAGCTTTATACTCTTAAGTCTGTGACTACACATTTTGTCATGACGGCATTGTTGTAATTTATGCATAAGCTGATTTACCTGGTTTTGCCAATATTGTCAGTGTGAATTTGTTTTTAATATTTGACAACTCAGGCAAAGAACTATTTCTCAGTGTAGAATATAGATGTAGAAGTTATTAGAAATACAAAGAAATTGATTAACCTCAAATAAAATGAAACGGTGGCTCAATATTTTATGCCATATATTCTGAGAGGGCATCACATTGGCTCATATTTTTATCAAAGATGATATGTCAAAGATTTTTTCACCTTATTTTGCTCAATTCAGTTGTTACTCCTGCCTGTCATTTGAGAGCAAGAAGGTTGTGCCAAAGACTTGCGTGTGTGCTCAATATTGCGATAGTTTGGGTTCGTGTTTCCCTGATGTTATATCTGCCATTGTTATTTACATCACGTGGGGAGTAGGACTGTTGGCATGTATAGGTAGTTTTAGTTAAATTTTCTCATTTACTGGTGTATCTATTCATAAAATTTTGTATTATCCTGTGTCAAAGACAGTCAAAAGAATTGTTTGGGGCATGATTCATATTTTGGTATGTAATCATAATATTTGTGTGTTGGACGATACTCAAGAAAACTGTTCTTCCGTACATTGATGTCACTCCAGGTTGTTATGGGTGTTGTATGTTTAATTATTATTTTTTGTTTCTGTTATTGTATTCCTATTTTGGTACTCACAAACTTGTAATTATATGCTCTTCCTTCTGACATAAGCAGTTCAATCTTGTAGTGTAGAAATTTGACTTGTGAATGTTTATAAAGTTTTACAGACATGTGCCAAACCAGTGAAACACATGTTCAGTGTTTTCATACGGAGCTTTTTCTGTGTTATAAATATGTGTATGCATTTTTATTTGTGCAAATCTCTTTATTGTGTATAGTATCTCAAAGGTTGTATAAAAGACTATTATAAACCTTATAAATGCATACCATATATCGTTGACTTCAGTACTCCTCAAACTAAACAGAGTACATTGTACATCTATACTCTCTGGAGACCTCTATGACCTCTGCTTGCAGTTTTCTCATGATATACATTTAAACACAATGTATAAGCCATTAGTATATCCATAATTTGACTAAATTAAAAAAATCCAATATTTTTTGGATAAACTTCTTGATAAACGCTCAAAATCAGACACTATATAGAATAGATTTTAAAAATTTGTTGCAATTTCCTTATGTTCCTTTAAATAGCTTGAAAAAAATACTTTATTTTGTTGAATTTTACATGAAATATATTCATTTTAGTTTGAATAGTATATATGTTGCAATTTGAGCTCCTCATTTTCTCACTTAAGATTTTCTAGTGTTTCATCTTCGGTGAATCATTGACTATTCAAGAATGTTATGGGATATTAATGATTACTTGCAACTTTTGCATTCCATGCTTCCAGCACTGGTAATAGTGGTTCCTAAGAGACCATCAACAAGAAACTTCGACTCTTCAAACTCTTCCCTCAAGTTTGGGCTTCTGGCTTGTATTCAAGTATATTTTTAACTACTTTGCCTTGCATGGCAAAGCTGAGCCTATAACTTGTGTTGGAGGGGTTTAATGAGCCATATATGGTATGTGCAACACTGATATTGTCAGTATAATTTTGCGGCGAGATGAATTTCCACACAGCATTAAATAACTTTTATTGTATTTGATGGAACTTTGTAAAATCTGAGGTTGTTTCAATGCTGATTACATTTGTGTGATTTAATTTTATATGTAATATATCAAAATATTTAATGGTATTTTACTTCTCAATCCAAACTGTTCTTGGTACAAGCTGATAATATCATTGTTTTAGAGCTGTTCTAAATTTCAAAATGCATGAATTGCCAATTTGTTTTGCTTTGTTTTCACAAATGAAGGTAGTGCAATGCCTTCCACATTGATTAGTTATAAATGAAAATCAAATATCAAATCAAAGATGTTTTACAAATAAACAAAACAGTTTTCTTCTGTGAGTACAGATTGTGCTGTAATTCACATACTTGTACCAAGGTCGGGGATAAGCAAGGCCTTATATACTGTATTAATCATGAAATATTCCTCTATACATTGCCGAGGAATCTTTTCTTGGAAACATCTATGCAATTCTCATTTTCCTCTTTTTCAGTAGCCTATTTATTATACAAAAAAGTAAACGGCAGTTTCTGTGTTAAAACAGGAAAAATGATTTTAGTTTAAATTACTGTATAATTAAAAGTAATGATAATACAGTTTAACATATAAGCAGTTACTGGATGTTAAATGAGAGGTTTGTTGCTTTCTATCTTGACTACTGCTGTAGCCTGTCTGTGGGTGGTGTCAGTCGACTCGGCGTCACCCGGCGCTGAAGTGATGTTCGACTCTAAGATTTCATTTTCTCAAGAATTCCCTAAGTTATGTTTATCATTCATGCCATTCCATCTGCCACTTGTGTGGCATATTATATGCATAATTTGTATATATGTGTGTCTCATTATTATAGTCTTTGTTTATGCTTCCCTATGTGTTGTCTAGAGAGGGGAAGCAAGTACCGGAATTAAGCATTCTGTATTACATATTTATAATGATTCTCCTGATAGTTAAACCTTTGAGTTTACATATCTGCCATAAAGTGGTATTGACCCGAGTTTGATATGCTAGTACTGTAATGAAGGTTTTAAACTTGCTCAAATTATGTTGATACTGGATCATCTAGAGTGTAACATGCTAGAGTACAGCTTGAATATGTACTAGTGTGTGTGTGTGTGTGTGTGTGTGTGTGTGTGTGTGTGTGTGTGTGTGTGTGTGTGTGTGTGTGTGTGTGTGTGTGTGTGTGTGTGTGACCTGGATTTTGAGGGAGGAGGGTATCCATCAGTATCTCTTAGGCTCTCAGGTATGCCAGTCAGACTTTTAGGTAAGCTTCTGGCTGCTGGTATTTAGGATTGTCAGGGTTCATAAATTAGCAGAAAATGTTAAAATAAGTGTCATAATATTCATTGGCTGGCCATTACAAATAATTAAACCTTTATTATCTCATCTCGTATATACGTAATCTTCCCCTCTCTGTACTCATCCTTGTCCCTTTTCTCATTTTCAGAACTATAAAATTCTTCAATATTAATTATCTTATAATGCAGTGACACCACTGTTCAGTGTTGTTGTTATCATATGTTTTTCTTGTTTCATAATTCAGTAAATTTCCTTTTTTTACCTACATTGTAACAGTTCATTATCATGAAGGATTATATCTAGCATTCCATTATATTTTTGCTTCTAATCTGTTGTATTTTGCTGCTCCCTTTTTGCATATACTTTAGTGTGAGGTTGTGGATGGGTAAATAACTAACTTATCTAACGTTGTGTGCCATAACTTTGTAAAAGACATTATTATTTTTTATACTAAACTTTTCAACAAATAAAATTTTGCATTTTTCTCAACAAGTGTATTTCTTTATTAGCCTATGTGGTTGGTATTTAAATGCAGGCGATGAGTCACAATAACGTGGCTAAATTATGTTGACCAGACCACACACTAGAAGGTGAAGGGACGACGATGTTTTGGTCCGTCCTGGACCATTCACAATCGACTTGAGAATGGTCCAGGATGGACCGAAACATCGTCGTCCCTTCACCTTCTAGTGTGTGGTATTTAAATACTTTGCATTTAGTGAAGCTCTAAATAAAGAGTAGAAACCTCTTGTCAGAGTGGCAGTAATGTAACCATTAGGGGCCTCTGTTAGGGTGCTGCCTCAAAGCTCCACATGTATTGGCAAGTGTTTTGGAACAAGTCTCTTGTGGCTCCTTGAAGCTATACACTGAGATGGTTCCCCATCTACTGTGTCGCATCAACCATGGAGTTCTTGGGCCTTCTGGGGACCAGAGTCAGAACCTGGCCCCCATCACAGAGGTGCAGAGGGCAGTGGCAGAACCTGGCCCCCATCACAGAGGTGCAGGGAGTGGTGGCAGAACCTGGCCCCCATCACAGAGGTGCAGGGAGTGGTGGCAGAACCTGGCCCCCATCACAGAGGTGCAGGGAGTGGTGGCAGAACCTGGCCCCCATCACCGGTGTAGGGAGTGGTGGCAGAACCTGGCCCCCATCACAGAGGTGCAGGGAGTGGTGGCAGAACCTGGCCCCCATCACAGAGGTGCAGAGAGTGGTGGCAGAACCTGGCCCCCATCACAGAGGTGCAGAGGGCGGTGGCAGAACCTGGCCCCCATCACAGAGGTGCAGAGGGCGGTGGCAGAACCTGGCCCCCATCACAGAGGTGCAGGGAGTGGTGGCAGAACCTGGCCCCCATCACAGAGGTGCAGAGAGTGGTGGCAGAACCTGGCCCCCATCACAGAGGTGCAGAGGGCGGTGGCAGAACCTGGCCCCCATCACAGAGGTGCAGAGGGCGGTGGCAGAACCTGGCCCCCATCACAGAGGTGCAGAGGGCGGTGGCAGAACCTGGCCCCCGTCACAGAGGTGCAGAGGGCGGTGGCAGAACCTGGCCCCCATCACAGAGGTGCAGAGAGCAGTGACAGAACCTGGCCCCCATCACAGAGGTGCAGAGGGCGGTGGCAGAACCTGGCCCCCATCACAGAGGTGCAGAGGGCGGTGGCAGAACCTGGCCCCCATCACAGAGGTGCAGAGGGCGGTGGCAGAACCTGGCCCCCATCACAAAGGTGCAGAGAGCAGTGACAGAACCTGGCCCCCATCACAGAGGTGCAGAGAGTGGTGGCAGAATCTGGCCCTCATCACAGAGGTGCAGAGAGCAGTGACAGAACCTGGCCCCCATCGCAGAGGTTCAGAGAGTGGTGGCAGAATCTGGCCCTCATCACAGAGGTGCAGGGAGTGGTGGCAGAATCTGGCCCTCATCACAGAGGTGCAGGGAGTGGTGGCAGAATCTGGCCCTCATCACAGAGGTGCAGGGAGTGGTGGCAGAATCTGGCCCTCATCACAGAGGTGCAGGGAGTGGTGGCAGAATCTGGCCTCCATCACAGAGGTGCAGGGAGTGGTGGCAGAATCTGGCCTCCATCACAGAGGTGCAGAGGGCGGTGACAGAACCTGGCCCCCATCACAGAGGTGCAGGGAGTGGTGGCAGAACCTGGCCCCCATCACAGAGGTGCAGGGAGTGGTGGCAGAATCTGGCCCTCATCACAGAGGTGCAGGGAGTGGTGGCAGAACCTGGCCCCCATCACAGAGGTGCAGAGAGTGGTGGCAGAACCTGGCCCCCATCACAGAGGTGCAGAGAGCAGTGACAGAACCTGGCCCCCATCACAGAGGTGCAGAGAGTGGTGGCAGAATCTGGCCCTCATCACAGAGGTGCAGAGAGCAGTGACGGAACCTGGCCCCCATCACAGAGGTGCAGAGAGTGGTGGCAGAATCTGGCCCTCATCACAGAGGTGCATGGAGTGGTGGCAGAATCTGGCCCTCATCACAGAGGTGCAGGGAGTGGTGGCAGAATCTGGCCTCCATCACAGAGGTGCAAAGGGCGGTGGCAGAACCTGGCCCCTATCACAGAGGTGCAGAGAGCGGTGGCAGAATCTGGCCCTCATCACAGAGGTGCAGAGAGTGGTGGCAGAACCTGGCCCCCATCACAGAGGTGCAGAGAGTGGTGGCAGAACCTGGCCCCCATCACAGAGGTGCAGGGAGTGGTGGCAGAACCTGGCCCCCATCACAGAGGTGCAGAGAGTGGTGGCAGAACCTGGCCCCCATCACAGAGGTGCAGGGAGTGGTGGCAGAACCTGGCCCCCATCACAGAGGTGCAGGGAGTGGTGGCAGAACCTGGCCCCCATCACAGAGGTGCAGAGAGCAGAGACAGAATCTAGGGCCAGATTCATGAACCAGCTTACGAATGTTTTTCTTCTTAGCGCCTTCGTAGTGGCTACTCGGTATTCAGGTAGGCATACTAAGAAGTAAAATCTGCATAAGTATGTCCCGTCAGTATGCTTTACGTAAACTGGATATAACTCAATTTTTCTCTACAACACAAAGGATCGATTTTATTATAAACAAGCACTAGCTGGAGAGTTTCATCAAGGAGTTAGTATGCATCCTTCAGTCTAAGACTATGGAGTTGCACCCTGACAGGGCGCATAGCCTGGGTAGGTAGATATGGAGGAGAAGCTGTTACCCATGCAGCAGGTCCACCCGTCTCCACATTGCTGAAATTATCCAATAGAAAGGTAAATGCGAATACAAATGGTTCCAGCAACGTCACAGGAGCTGCCAGAACGAGGTCGACGTCAACAACGGACTGCATGCCTTAGGGGCTCCAACTCTGGATTTTTCCTCGAGGTTGACTCCTGAAGCCTTTCCCAAAAAGAGGTATGGCCGCAAGGCAGCGGAGGTTTAAAATCAGGGTTTTCCTTCCCCTAGATGGGCTGCCTTCCCAGGCTATTGAGTTCCATCTACCCGGAGCAGCTGGTTTTAAGGTGCCAGAGGCACGCCCTCGCCCCTTCTGTCGGTAAAAGCAGTTCCGCCAGACTTAAAGACTAAGCCACCCGTGCAGGCCAGGAGTTGGACTTGGTTGTCAGAGGCTATTGGAGACGCATGCCGTATAGGAGCATTTTATAGGTCATGGGAGCTCGTCCCCATTACCACCCCCTGGCTATGACAACCCCTCATCATCAAGGAGTAGTCCTTCGTGTTAACTATATAACATGACATGATTTGCCCGAAACGCTGCCTGTACTAGTGGCTTTACAAGAATGTAATTACTGTACTATGCTATGTATCTTTACAATCCCAATGTACCTTCTTGTATCTATAAAAATAATAAAAAAAAAATTATATGCATTCTCTGCTTGAAACTTGTAGTAAATATGTTTTTATGATATTAGAATTAGTTTTATAATAGCAAGATATTATACCAGTAGTTATTAAGTAAATAAATACTGGTGAACATGAAATGAACAAGTATAGACCCAGAACTAAATCTCTTATCCAGTATCTATGACAATCATCACTTTAATGATCAAAACTGCAGATATTATTCAGCACATGATGTAAGCAATGTATTAACACAAACAAAATGTCTCTGTAATTAACTTGAATGTAAGATCTCTAAGCAAACACATTGATGATGTTAGTGCCTTGATTCAAACTGTTGCTAACAAATTCTCTTTTGTTATACTTACTGAATCGTGGTTAAAAGAGGATATTACTCAACTCTTTAACATACCAAACTACTCAGCAATTAACAACTGTCGACCAATTCAGAGAGGTGGTGGTACTGCTCTTTACTACCATCATGAACTGACATGCTTAAAAGTAATTATAACTAGAGACTCCTGTGGGGATTATATCTTCGCCAGTTTCAGACTCAAGGGTGCCGAGTCTGTCCTGTCTGTGGGTGCTGTCTATAGAATTCCTAATACTAATGTGTCCGAATTCAACTCTAACCTTAGAAATCTAATACTAGAGAACAGACTGAACAAAAACCATCTAATTATCGCAGGGGACTTTAATATTGACCTCTGCGAGCCAGAACACCCTACTGCTGTTAGCTTCCTCAACTGTATGAATTCCTGCTTCCTCATACCCTTAATCACTAGACCTACTAGAGTCACTGATAGTACTGCCTCTGATCTTGACCACATCTGAACTAACATAACCTCTCCACTTACTTCAGGGATAATCATTGATAGGACCACTGACCATTACCCCACATTTCTCCTAACCAACATTAATAAACCACCTCTAGAGACAAGGAAGATGAGCTTTAGGCTGCACAATGAAACTTCTATAAGCAACTTTATTACTGCTGCTGCCACTATCAACTGGGAGGCTGAATTAGGTGACATAGTGAACATCAACCTAACAGTGCAAACATTTCTTCAGAAAACTCTGAACCTTTATAACTCCCACTGTCCAATGCTAACGAAACAAGTTACAAATAAAAGGTTAAATACTCCACGGCTTACAAAGGGTATACTTAAATATTGTCTCCGTGGTGTAGTGGTAAGACACTCGCCTGGCGTTCCCCGAGCGCTATGTCATGGGTTCGTATCCTGGCCGGGGAGGATTTACTGGGCGCAAATCCTTAACTGTAGCCTCTGTTTAACGCAACAGTAAAATGTGTACTTGGTTGTAACAACGATTCTTCGCGGCGGGGATCGTATTCCAGGGACCTGCCCGAAACGCTACGCGTACTAGTGGCTCTACAAGAATGTAACAACTCTTGTATATATCTCAAATTAAAAAAAAAACATGACCTGAAAAAGAAGTATAGGTTAGGAGTCGTCTCCAAACAATTTTCAAAGATTTACTCATCCATGATGTCTAAAATAATTAGAAGAGCCAAAATAAAATACTGTACTACGAAAATACATTTACCCAAATTAAGGGCAACATTAAGAAAACATGGAGCAGTATCTTCCAAATATTAGGTTCAAAAAAGATTTTAAATAAAAATCCAATTCTCCTATGACAACATGACACCAACACCAACATG